AGAGGGTGATAGAAGAGTGAGAGGGTGATCAAGAGAAGAGAGAGAGGGCGATCAAGAGAAGAGAGAGAGAGGGCGATCAAGAGGAGAGAGAGAGGGCGATCAAGAGAAGAGAGAGGGCGATCAAGAGAAGAGAGAGAGGGTGAGCAAGAGAAGAGAAAGAGGGTGAGCAAGAGAAGAGCAAGAGAAGAGAGAGAGAAGAGAGAGAGGGCGATCAAGAGAAGAGAGAGAGGGTGAGCAAGAGAAGAGAGAGAGAAGAGAGAGGGCGATCAAGAGAAGAGAGAGGGCGATAGAAGATTGAGAGGGTGATCAAGAGAAGAGAGAGGGCGATCAAGAGAAGAGAGAGAGTAATGTAACCTCCTAATGTAATGTATAACTCCTATGAAAATGTTCAAAAAGTGCTCAAACTTCACATGTGTGCTAACAGTCCAGCCGTGAAGACATCTACGGGACAATTTTGAGATTTCTTCAAATGCCGTTGCCATGGCAACACAATGCTCACCATGAAACACGGTTTTCTCATAATTTCAGTGAAAATGCTCGAAATGGCCCAAAACTTCACAGGTTTGGTAACGATGCAGCCATCAACACATCTAAGCGTATTATGGGGTGTCATCAAATGCCGTTGCCATGGCGACAGATAATTAACCATCAAGTTAGTTCAAAAGTTTGTAGTTCAAATATTCTGCTGCTTTCCCAAGCCTTTTTACTTTCTATTCTCATCTTAATACAAATGTATTCACTACTACTTACATCTGATATTTAACTCCTTCAGCCTATTTTCAGCTGCAGAAACCATTCAACTATTACATTATTCAGCTATTTCAGGACATCAAGGCTATACATGTTTTTTTAAACCTTTTCTTTTAAATATTAAGCTTTTTCTGCATTTTTGTAGCTAAAAGCAGCTACCATTCAGCTAATAACATATTCAGCTTTTTCAGCTAAATTCAGCCACAAATGTTCACAGTTTACAGCATTCGCACGCATTTTCTGCAGGAAATGCATTTTCTAGTTATTATTATTATTTCAGCCAATAATTTGGCACTCCATAACTTCAGCTTATTTTCAGCTACAGAAACCATTCAAATATTAAACTATTCAGCCTGTTCAGGAATCGATGGGAAACCTTCACATTTAAAAAAATATTTTATACTTTTTGAAATATTCAGCTTTTTAAACTCTTTTTTTAACATGGAAGTAAATGGGAGATGCCTTCAAATCCTCTTTTCCTAAACTTTGCGCCAAATGCTACTCCTTCCACATACTTTCAGCTAGACACTTCATTCCAACTTTCAAATGATCACAAGACCTTCAGCTATTCAAAATTGATTTTTATTTTTGATATCTTTTACACTTTTTGAGATATTTAACTTAGTTTGGAGCTTGGTAGAGAGGCCTTTTTCAGATTTTAACATTAGTGTGGATGGAGCAGCTCGTTAAGTCTAGAGTGCTTTGATCTCAAAACAGAGTGGAGGGGTGCTTCAAATTCTCCTCAAAAAATGTTTTAAACTTGCCATAATTCCCAAACCCTACACTCCTCAGACATATTTTTTCATAAAAAACGTAGGAAAACCTCTCCTAGGTTGGAAAATAAAAAAATATGAAGAAAAAATATTAAACAAAATGCCTCTTGAGGGCATGAAGAGACAAAAAGTTCAGCTAGCTCCCAATTGATTCCCATGTTAAATCTTTCCGGAACTTTCTTCAGAACAGAGAGAAGTACACTTTAGACCAGGGGTCGGCAACCCCTGGCACGCGTGCCACCAATGGCACGCGGCACCGTAACCAGTGGCACACTAGGAATAAGTGGAATAAGTGTACAAAATATTTATTTTATTTTCGGATCCTGAACGAGACCGCCGCCAGAGCGCGTCTCCCCGTTACCTGCAGAAGGAAGCCATGCACGCAACGCAGCCCCGCTCTCTTTAACTCCAGGCGACTTTCTTCCGCTTTCCTCCGTAATGCAGGGCTGATCGTTTCACCACAGAGGAAAGCACTTCACAAATTGCATTACCCATAAGGAGCTGTAAAAATGCCCCAGTTTTTGCGTGGCGATCGATATCGGCCGATACTCACTTTCTGCCGATCGATCGGTGCTCTCTAAAAAGGCCGATCGCGAGGCGTAACATACATGACACTTTTCTCTGTGCGCGGCAAAACAAGCTCGCAAAAAAATGGCTTCACCAGTCTGGCAGTATTTTAAGGTGTCCGAAAATGACAATAAAATAGCGATGCAACGTGTGTGAAGCAGAAATCCTGCAGCTCCACCCGCTGTGACGGACCGGTGAGCGGAGCAGAACACACAAGAGTTAGACCTAACACACTTAGCTATTTTATCTACCTTTGGAACTAGTTATACATATATTTATTCTTCACTGTCACTCATTACTGGATCAGTGAGCTGCATGAGATACTGACAGGCTGTCAGGAGAGAGAGAGGGGGAGAGAGGAAAAGAGAGCGCTTCCGCTCATTTCTCCCATGTTATTATCCAAAGTTAATGTAAACTTGAATAATGTAGGCTACTTCATTTGAATGTAACAATTATGTTGGTTGTTGTTTGTGGAAGCGCCAGTGAATGAGCATTAACTGAGTTTTAAACATCAATTTTCACGAGTGTTTTCGTCCCGTTGATAATTCACGATCGTCGGCACGCTGATAAAACATTTTTTTTAGAATGGCACTTCATATCAGAAAGGTTGCCGACCCCTGCTTTAGACAAATTGCTCCCATCTCAACATTTTACACACAAAACCAAAGAAAAAAACATTTATCAGTTCATTGGGGTTCCCTGATGCTCACGGTCTGGTCATTTTTTGATAGGAGCCATAGTTTTTGAACAGGTGGCAAAATTGTCAGATATAATCCTCAATGCATTCTTAATGGGACTCAGTGCTGTAGTTGGTCAATCGTCATAAGTCGTCACCATGGTAACCTTTCATCTCTGGGTTTACACACACAGGTGTTTGTAAACATTCATTCACTACTACTTACATTTAATATCTTTATTTAACTCCTTGAGCCTAATTTCAGCTGCAGGAACCATTCAAATATCAAACTATTCAGCCTTTTCAGCACATGATGGGGAAACTTTCAACTTTTTCAAAATATGTTATACTTTTTAAAACATTCAGCTTTTTAAAGTCTTTTTTTAACATGGAAGTCATTGCAATGCATTTGAGCTGTAACAATTCTCTCTCTCTCTCTCTCTCTCACACACACACACTCTCCCTCTCTCTCACAGACACATCAAGAGAAGAGAGAGAGGGTGATAGAAGAGTGATAGGGTGATCAAGAGAAGAGAGAGGGCAATCAAGAGGAGAGAGAGAGGGCGATCAAGAGAAGAGAGAGAGAGGGCGATAAAGAGAAGAGAGAGAGGGTGATCAAGAGAAGAGAGAGAGGGTGATCAAGGAGAGGGCGATCAAGAGGAGAGAGTGATCAAGAGGAGAGAGAGTGAGCGATCAAGAGGAGAGAGAGAGGGCGATCAAGAGGAGAGAGAGAGGGCGATCAAGAGGAGAGAGAGAGGGCGATCAAGAGGAGAGAGAGAGGGCAATCAAGAGAAGAGAGAGAGGGTGATAGAAGACTGAGAGGGTGATAGAAGAGAGAGAGGGCGATCAAGAGGAGAGAGGGCGATCAAGAGAAGAGAGAGAGGGTGATAGAAGAGTGAGAGGGTGATCAAGAGAAGAGAGAGAGGGCGATCAAGAGAAGAGAGAGAGAGGGCGATCAAGAGGAGAGAGAGAGAGGGCGATCAAGAGAAGAGAGGGGGTGATCAAGAGAAGAGAGAGAGAGTGAGCAAGAGAAGAGAGAGAGAAGAGAGAGAGGCCGATCAAGAGAAGAGAGAGAGGGCGATCAAGAGAAGAGAGAGGGCGATCAAGAGAAGAGAGAGAGGGCGAGCAAGAGAAGAGAGAGAGAAGAGAGAGAGGGCGATCAAGAGAAGAGAGAGAGGGCGATAGAAGATTGAGAGGGTGATCAAGAGAAGAGAGAGGGCGATCAAGAGAAGAGAGAGAGTAATGTAACCTCCTAATGTAATGTATAACTCCTATGAAAATGTTCAAAAAGTGCTCAAACTTCACATTTGTGCTAACAGTCCAGCCGTGAACACATCTACGGGACAGTTTTGAGATTTCTTAAAATGCCGTTGCCATGGCAACACAATGCTCACCATGAAACACGGTTTTCTCATAATTTCAGTGAAAATGCTCGAAATGGCCCAAAATTCACAGGTTTGGTAACGATGCAGCCACATCTAAGCGTATTATGGGGTGTCATCAAATGCCGTTGCCATGGCGACAGATAATTCACCATCAAGTTAGTTCAAAAGTTTGTAGTTCAAATATTCTGCTGCTTTCCCAAGCCTTTTTACTTTCTTTTCTCATCTTAATACAAATTCATTCACTTACATCTGATATTTAACTCCTTCAGCCTATTTTCAGCTGCAGAAACCATTCAACTATTACATTATTCAGCTATTTCAGGACATCAAGGCTATACATGTTTTTTTAAACCTTTTCTTTTAAATATTAAGCTTTTTCTGCATTTTTGTAGCTAAAAGCAGCTACCATTCAGCTAATAACATATTCAGCTTTTTCTGCATTTTCAGCTAAATTCAGCCACAAATGTTCACAGTTTACAGCATTCGCACGCATTTTCTGCAGGAAATGCATTTTCTAGTTATGTGTTATAGTTTGGATTCCTAAAGCTTTTAGTCTACTAACCCATCATTCAAGGGTGGGTTTCACTATAAGTAATGTTTTTTTTGGACGGACACTATCATTTACAGTTTTTTGCTATGTTCAATCTGAATTTACTTTAAAATATAAAAAATCTATATTGATTCTGACTTTTCTACATCCAACTCACAGGTTTATCATTGCTTTGAGAAAAAAGATTATTAATTTAACTCTTTTAGAAGTTAAGATATAGTCATTTGTTCTTAACAGGTTAAATGGAAAAACATCTGCTCAAAAACAAATACGTTTTTTTTTCTTGTTTCTCTTATTAGTTATCTTTTGGTTGGAAATTCGATCATCCTGTGTGGCAGCGAGGGCTGGATGGACCGGCTGCCTGTGTGTGAAGGTGAGTCTGTGTGTTCATACATGTCTAATAAACGACCAGAGGGGGAAGTACAAATGCTTTGTTACTGTACTTAAGTACATTTTTCTGGTATCAGTACTTTACTCCACTACTTATTTTTCTGACGACTTTTTACTTTGACTTCTTACATTTTGAACACAAATACCTGTACTTTCTACTTCTTACATGTTGAACACAAATACCTGTACTTTCTACTTCTTACATGTTGAACACAAATACCTGTACTTTCTACTTCTTACATTTTGAACCCAAATACCTGTACTTTCTACTTCTTACATGTTGAACACAAATACCTGTACTTTCTACTTCTTACATGTTGAACACAAATACCTGTACTTTCTACTTCTTACATGTTGAACACAAATACCTGTACTTTCTACTTCTTACATGTTGAACACAAATACCTGTACTTTCTACTTCTTACATGTTGAACCCAAATACCTGTACTTTCTACTTCTTACATGTTGAACCCAAATACCTGTACTTTCTACTTCTTACATGTTGAACACAAATACCTGTACTTTCTACTTCTTACATGTTGAACCCAAATACCTGTACTTTCTACTTCTTACGGCCTCCTTCCTCCTGCTCCTGACCTCTGTTGGCCTTTTCCTTTCAGCTCAAGGTCAGTGGTTATAATCTCGCTGCAGATATGACATTAGTCCTGTTTTGATTCTACATTACACATCAACTTCTGGACGTTCCCTCCCCAGCTCAGGACTGCTCCAGACCTGTGGGAGGAGCCAACATGGATCTGAAGGGGGACGACATACTTTTACAAACTTTCCCCGAGGGGATAAAAGTTACGTTTGCTTGTAATGTTGGCTACGAGTCTGTTGGAGGATCTGCATCCATCACCTGTACTGCTGGAGCCTGGAGCCCTTTGAGGATGACATGTGAAAGTGAGTATTAGTATTTTATTTACACGTAGCGGTACAATACCTTTACTCGTCCCACAGAGGAGGACATTTACATTTGTTACAGCAGAAAGAGCCAAAGACAGCTTAGTAGTTCTTAAGAAGCATGCATACAAATATTAAGAGATTAAACTACAAATTACACAATTCACAAAATACATATCCAGTACCAGTTAGCGATATACAGAGGTGTAAAGTAACTAAGTACATTTACTCAAGTACCATTTTGAGGTACTTGTACTTTATCTGAGTATTTAAATGTTATGTTAATGTGTACTTCTACTCCACTACAGTTCAGAGGTACATGGTGTACTTTTCCTCCACTACATTTATTTAATACATCATTCATTCACAGATGTGGATGAATGATGTGAAATATAATCAAGTGTTAAATCAGACTTTAGTTCCACCTGGAGTAAATCCACAAGCTACCCTGCAGTATACAAAGTCATTCAAACTAGCTGCACCTTTACCAGCTTTGAGAACACTTTCATGATCAATCATTATAAAACATATCATATATATTATTCTGAAATGGACCAATCTGCACAATGACTACTTTTACTGTCGCTACTTTCACTATATTTTGATGAGAATACTTTACTACTTTTACTTGAGGAACATTTTGAATGCAGGACTTTTACTGTAACAGAGTATTCCTACACTCTGGTACTTCTACTTTTACTCAAGTACAAGATCTCAGTACTTCTACTTTTACTCAAGTACAAGATCTGAGTACTTCTACTTTTACTCAAGTACCAGATCTGAGTACTTCTACTTTTACTCAAGTACCAGATCTGAGTACTTCTACTTTTACTCAAGAACAAGACCTGAGTACTTCTACTTTTACTTGAGTAACATTCTGAATGCAGGACTTTTACTGTAAGAGTATTCCTACACTCTGAAACACAGATATCCAGAAATGTTTAAGGGATGAATTTAATCCTAAGGGGTTTTTCTGTTGTTGTTTGTTAAGGGAAGTCCTGTGGTGCTATTGGAGACGTGCCAAATGGACAAGTGGATTATTCTGGGGGGATTCAGTTTGGAGACAAACTGGAAGTCACCTGCGACCCTGGGTGAGTCTTTCGGGGGCCAGCGATTTTCAGTGGGGGGCGAACGCACTAACCACTCCGCCAACGCCACAGTCACCCCCGCCGTGCGGGCCGGATGAGAATGTCTGGCGGGCCGGATGTGGCCCCCGGGCCACCAGTTGATGGTCACTGATATATAGCATACAGAATAAATTGGAATATAATAGACCAACTTACTACTTAACAAATATAAATATAGGATGATTAGATGTTGAGAAGCGATGCACAAGTTAAAATGTCATTCAAATACAAAAATTAGATGTATTTGTTTTGATCCCTAATATGACAATTGTGTTGTTCCAGCAGCGAGTTTACAAGGCATTGCACATGAGTCAAAACTATAATAAAATACAAAATAAAATACCAAAGAAAAGGACAAATAGACACTAAATATATACATATGAACAGCAGAGTATGTAAGGAACGCACAGAATAAAATATAGAGAATAACTTACTACCAACCTACTATTTCAATAAAAAATATATAAATAAACACAGGATACTTTACACATAGTGCTGGGGGCATACCGCTTCATACCGAACTTTATACCGAACTTTATACCGAACTTCATACCGAACTTCATACCGAACTTCATACCGAACTTCATACCGAACTTTATACCGAACTTTATACCGAACTTCATACCGAACTTTATACCGAACTTCATACCGAATGATATCCTTAGGCGCTTTCACACCGGAGTACTTTTCCCAGTATTGTTCCGAAATGTCACGTTCACACCAAAAACATCCGGAACTAGAAATTAGTTCATGAGAACCTTTCCACCCCCTTTTCCGTCCCTGCTAGAGAGCAGGTACTTTCGTGGGAGAAAAAGGTTCCCATTTCTGATTGGCTGGGCGGATTGCAAACCACGCCCCGTAAAACTCCCAAAAGTTTTGTGAAGCCGCCATTTTATTTGCTCGCATTAGCATTATTAGCATGAGCATTAGCCCAGCGCACAAACGCAGAGAGACTAACTCATGGCAACACAAAATAAAACTCCTTTCACTGTCGCACCGCTGAAATGCATGCTGGGGGACAGCGCCAAGCGTAGCAGCAGAACATGTGAAGCTGCAGATGCACACTGAATATTTTACATTTGATTCCAAATCCATTTCAATGTAAATACTGCTATATTTTTTTATGTTATTATAGTTTTCGTAAAATAGTTCTCTATCTGTGTTTTAAAAACAGTTTTTACTTTGATGTATGCACCACGACATCAAGTCAAATTCCTCGTACGTGTCAACCTACCTGGAGATAAACCTGATTCTGATTCTGAAGAACTGGAGATAGAGGGCTGTTGTTGTTGTTGTTGTTGTTGTTGTTGTGTTGTACGCACAATTAGCATGTTGCAGCTGTTGCACTGATCAGGGGTTTCTTTGTGGGGACAAAACCTTTAAATGCAAATACATTTCCAATCATTGAACCACAAATAAATACGTGATGCCGTTATAATTTGGAAAAATACCGTGATATGAGTTTTTTTGTCGTACCGCCCAGCCCTATTTATACATAGATTAAACACGATCATTGTTCATTTTAATTATAATTTAAATGCAACCAGGTTAGGGCTGCAACAAACGACTAATTTGATAATCGATTAATCTATCGATTAATGAAACGATTAATCGACTATTCGGACTATTATGCCTTGCAAAATGTCTCAAACGCTCTTATTACAACTTTTAGATTTAGCTTGAGGTTGTTTTAGGCATGTGGAAACTAACAATGAAGACAATAAAGATGAATACTTGATTCAAAAATACAAATATTATTAAATTAACTAAACAAATTGTGAACAAAATTAACAAATTGTGAACAAAATTAACAAATTGTGAACAAAATTAACATTGCTTTTTATTTAAATTAAATAAATAATATTTCACATCAAAAGAAACAACAATGTTTTAACAAATGGTATTAAATAATGTGATGACAGAACTGTGAACAGAATAGCTGAAACTTTAACAAAATCAATAACTCAGTTACCTCTAATCATTAACCCATGTTTGTATCATTGTGTTAACTCTGTGTGTTGCTAACGTGGAAACGTTACTCGTGGACGGGGCTACAGAGCTGCTAGAGAGACAGTCGAACCCGGTGCATTCCTCCGTCTGAACGTGGAGCACTTTTGCTAAATGTTTAGACAGATTGCTCGTGTTACCGCCCTGACATGCTGAACTCTTATTACACTTTAGGTAACGAGCATTGTCCACATCGAGACGGGTAACATTTAACCACACCTCGGAGCGCGTTCTCTCCGCCATCCCTGCAGTGTGTTGCATGCATCATGTAGCAGTGTGTTGCATGCATCATGTAGCAGTGTGTTGCATGCATCATGTAGCAGTGTGTTGCATGCATCATGTAGCAGTTTGTTGCATGCATCATGTAGCAGTGTGTTGCATGCATCATGTAGCAGTGTGTTGCATGCATCATGTAGCAGTGTATGGCATGCATCATGTAGCAGTTTGTTGCATGCATCATGTAGCAGTTTGTTGCATGCATCATGTAGCAGTGTGTTGCATGCATCATGTAGCAGTGTATGGCATGCATCATGTAGCAGTGTGTTGCATGCATCATGTAGCAGTGTGTTGCATGCATCATGTAGCATCATGTAGCAGTGTGTTGCATGCATCATGTAGCAGTGTGTTGCATGCATCATGTAGCAGTTTGTTGCATGCATCATGTAGCAGTTTGTTGCATGCATCATGTAGCAGTGTGTTGCATGCATCATGTAGCAGTGTGTTGCATGCATCATGTAGCAGTGTGTTGCATGCATCATGTAGCAGTTTGTTGCATGCATCATGTAGCAGTGTGTTGCATGCATCATGTAGCAGTGTATGGCATGCATCATGTAGCAGTGTGTTGCATGCATCATGTAGCAGTGTTGCATGCATCATGTAGCAGTGTGTTGCATGCATCATGTAGCAGTGTGTTGCATGCATCATGTAGTAGTGTGTTGCATGCATCATGTAGCAGTGTGTTGCATGCATCATGTAGCAGTGTTGCATGCATCATGTAGCAGTGTGTTGCATGCATCATGTAGCAGTGTGTTGCATGCATCATGTAGCAGTGTGTTGCATGCATCATGTAGCAGTGTGTTGCATGCATCATGTAGCAGTGTGTTGCATGCATCATGTAGCAGAGTGTGTAAACCGCCCCCTCGCACACAGACGGAGAGAGACATCTCGTCTGGATTGGAAAGATCGAAAATACATCATAGACGCATTTTTTTGTGTTTTTGCATATTAGAAACGAGTTGGCGACACTAAGACTGCGGTATAATGTTTATTTAGCAATAATACATATGACATATATGTTTTAAATGTCTCCAGGCAGTACCGATAAAAAGACCGATAACGTTGGAGCTTAACGTAAAACACACGTGATGACGTCACCAACGAATCGACGACTGAATTAGTTGGCAACTAATTTGGTCATGGATTTTAATGGATTAAGTCGATTAGTTGTTGCACCCCTAAACCAGGTAGAGGTTAAGCACAATATGCTCTCTGAATGTTCAGGGTTGTTAACCTGTTAGGCGGGGGCTATGGGGATTTTTCTTTTTTTCACGAAACTGTGACTCAGGGAAAAACCTATTAATGTTTCATACCCACCTAACGGGAAGAAACTCAGCTATCTGACGATATGAACCATTTGTACCGAAACAAAACACAAGTCTCACAAGAAGCGTCTAAATGAGCCCTGAGCGAAAAGATTCTAACACTTTAAATACACAGAACTCACGATAAAATACCCTTATTACTTATCGGATCTGCACAAACAAGATATCGATTAGCAAGCTGAGATTCCATAGAAATATAAGTATCATCACTGAGCGATCAAAACTCGCGACAGGGGAAGCGAACACAGACATCACACAACGTAGCTTTAGGGAGGAAACACGGCCAAATTGTCTTACCTTTTGCTGTTTCTGATCAAAAGTTGTGTTCAATGGCATCAAAACGATAAACACGCTGCTGAAGGTTAATCCAATGTGTCTGTGTCACTTTGAAATGATTTCTGATAATCCATCTTCATACTAGTTTGAGCCTAGGTTTCAGTTTTCAGAGCCTAACATAGCTTTCGACTGCGTGCGCATAGCTCTCACTTCTCAATGGTAACGTGTGTGTGTATGTGGAACTTCCCCTTCGATTCTATTGGCTCTAACGGTTCAAAAAATATGTCAATCACCAAAATCGACCAATGGGTTCCAGAGAAACGGCAAATACACCAAAATCCACCCAAGTGACCCCATACAGGTTTCTTTTCTCCTAAACCTCTCTAAAAAGGTCAAATGCCACTTGTTTTGCATCAATCTTGATACAGGGTACTTATTATATGTTATAGTTTGGATTCCTAAAGCTTTTAGTCTACTATCCCATCATTCAAGGGTGGGTTTCACTATAAGTAATGTTTTTTTTGGACGGACACTATAATTTACAGTTTTTTGCTATGTTCAATCTGAATTTACTTTAAAATATGAAAAATCTATATTGATTCTGACTTTTCTACATCCAACTCACAGGTTTATCATTACTTTGAGAAAAAAGATTATTAATTTAACTCTTTTAGAAGTGAAGATATGGTCATTTGTTCTTAACAGGTTAAATGGAAAAACATCTGCTCAAAAACAAATACGTTATTTTTCTTATTTCTCTTATTAGTTATGATTTGGTTGGAGAACCAGATTCCATCGTCACCATCCTGTGTGGCAGCGAGGGCTGGATGGACCGGCTGCCTGTGTGTGAAGGTGAGTCTGTGTGTTCATACATGTCTAATAAACTACCAGAGGGGGAAGTACTAATACTTGGTTACTGTACTTGTGGAGGAAACTTCTGTGTAGCAATGCATGGAGTCACCGACTCAGGAAGGAGACACGGTGAGAGTTGGAGCTTTGATGTCAAACACTGATGGGTTTATTCAGAGTATTCGGCCGGAGGATTCACATCACAAATCAAAGAGTCAGAGGTTCTGACTTCACGGTAGAGTTGCCACGTCAATTCTGAAGAGCCTCTCTCTATGCTAGACCTTTTAACAGGTTCACAGAGAGAAATCAACATCTCTGAAGGAGTAGACTAAACAGCTGGGAACACTGAGCCACCTGCGTCCGACGCTCATGGACTCGAAGATTTCACATCTTAGAGTCCACAAACACCGATAAAGAAGTGCCTCAGCGTTCTCACAACAATTACCATTCGTGCCAGACAAGTTGACCGGTCACACACTGGTGACAACAACACATATGGCACCAAGGCCTTTCCTTAAAGGAGATAACAGACGTCAGAGTAGATCATAAAACGTCACAGAGCAAAAGGTTAGATATCTAGAAGAATTATTCCTTAACAGTAACCATAACAACAGAGATACAGAACAATCAAGAAGACAGCCATATAATCGGTGTGGGAGGGATAACAGAGTTCTTTGTGTTTTGCTCTATTCTTGTGCATGTTTTCTTCTACCGGCATCGATCGTTTACATGATCAAGTGCTCATTTGAATGTGCATTGTCCCTTCTTGGAGTAATACAAACTAACATTTAGGTTTCTTCATGTGTTTCTATTTCTACTAACATATGCACGCACATGGTTTCCTCGCACTGGAGAAAGTTGTTGTTTTGAATGTTTATTTAGCTGCTGCTGACTCCACGCTAACCCTTCACAGATACTCCTCTCCTCCTCACAGGGCAGCAGGCGCTCTACACCTTCTCTCATGTCTGAGTGACGCTTAAACCCTTTTCTTTTGGTCCTGCAGCAAACGGGTTGATGCTGCTGGTCAATAACTACTGGATGTAGAGACGATCAGCTGATCAGTGGATGTCTCCGGACACGTCTGAATGTCTCCATGTTCCTCGGGACGGGATTGGCCGACGGAGACGCTCTGAAGAAACATTTCTGACCGCCTGAGACTCAGAAACTTCAGGAACTTCAAATCAACCCTTAGCTTCTGCTTTTAGCGACTCCTTTCCGATTAGTTGACGACGTAAATTCCCGACATTCAAAACGACTTTTTCTCTATTCTGCATTTGTCCTTGTTATGAAGGGATGAGGCTTCTGTTGATGAATACATGTTGCACTGAAGCGTAAGAATGACTGCATGCACCTTAAACGCAGCTGGCAGAAATCTGAAGGGTAACCACTTTAAATCAATAGTTTAGAACAAAAAATCACAACCTTTTGGGAAACAAATCATTAAAGAGGCCGAGAACCGGTTCCTCAAGTCTTAAGGTGCGTTCACAGCGGACGCAAAGAAGCCCAACTAACGTGACTCGTTAGATGTAGACGTGTAGATAGAACCACAACAATAAGACGTTTGCTGTGATTTGATTGTAACACAGGGATCAAGATGATGCCGAAATAACATCACACTGTAGTAAAAACATGAATGAATGCTTTTGGAGAGTGTGCTTACGAGACACTTTAAAGTGCTTCTGGTCAGGCTAAGCTAACAGCTCCTCCACACTCTCAGTCCCGTCCTGCAGACAGAAAGACAGACCGTATCCTCCACAGACAGTCTGGGGTTTGTACATTCAGAACCTTCCTCCAGTTTCTGAGCAGATATGAGGTGTGCTAACGGCTAACGGCTGCTTTTTGGTTTCTAATTCCCCTCCATCAGTGACGACAGGCTGAGATCCTCACCACTGATTGGCTCTAAGAGACAGCGTCGTGAGAATTTGAATAAAGAGGCCTGAACGCTTCCTCTACCCGTTTCTTTGCATTCACTTCACGTGTAACTGCGCGGCTCGTGTGAACGCAGCGCTCAAACATCACCTTTCTAGACCAAGCACTGGTTTCTGTCGTCTAGCTCAGTGCCTGAACATATCACATCCTCCATACGCCTTGAAGCAGAAAGACAGCTGTGAGTGTTCAAAGTAAAGCATATCATTATCCATATTTAATGTTGCTGCATTGTGTTGTGTAGCAAGAACTATTCCCCAGAGAACATTTATTTAATTACTAACTCAAGTCTTTGGTTTGATAACAACAAGAGAAGTACTTTACAAGTATTAGTACGCAGGCGTCTGTCTGTATACACTGTGATCTTTGTAATAATCATTTTGCACTTCCCTGCTTATTATCTTTATTTATTTTACTACAATGTGTGTCGGAACATCTCGGATTTATTTTGTGTTTTGAGGCTTTTATTTTAACTTTTGTAATCAATTAATGAAATAAAGCAGAAGAGGCGACGTTGATGTCTTTACTTCCTGGAGCTCTTCACTTGACTCACACACTTTAAAGTTCTCTCAATGTGCAAACGATCTGTCTTTCAAGAGCACTCATCTTTCTGACATATTATACTTTGACTTCATTTCATTATTTCAGAGATACTGCATTTCAACCTTTTTCAAACCGTTTTTTTACATTTGACACAAATTGGATATTTATTTTAAAAATGTGTTTTTTTATCACAGCTGGGAGACCAGAACTTTTTTGCATCTCATTGTTTTTTAATAGTAAACAAGACTGAATATATCGGTATCAGACTGTCTCTGATTTAAACATGTCTCAGAAACAGAAACATGGAGCGCCACGAGACACAGGACTGCCGGGTATCTCTAGTTTATAATCAAGACGCAGTCAAAGACTAAATAAACTACGGAAGAGGATTAGGGTCAAATGGAGGGTTTAATGTCAGAATGTGTTTTTAAGAAATGTGTTTTTAAAGTCCGTCATTCTGTCATCACATTAAATACATGTCAGCTCTCTAATTAATTAATTACAATCGTTAATGTAGTATATTCATATTTAACATTTAAACCAGTATGACAGTAAGTTTCATTTCATCAAGGTAACAAACTGCAGATGGAAACAACACAAACATTCATTCTCTCTCTCTCTCTCTCTCTCTCTCTCTCTCTCTCTCTCTCTCTCTCTCTCTCTCTCTCTCTCTCTCTCTCTCTCTCTCTCTCTCCTTTTCTCTCTCTCTTTCTTCTAACTTTTCGATCTTTGATTTACTCAATTAGCCTCCGCTTGGAAACCCACAGTATCAATCCACTGTCTGGCCCATACTTTGCTTGCATGATGTCAACAGTTTGGCCTGGGTACATCTCTGTCTTACATATCTCATTGCCCATCTTTGAACTTCATATTAAGCCTTAAAACTAAAACATAGCCGTCTCAATGAGTCCAGATTCTTTGAGGCAAAGCTCTCGGTCAAAAAGCTGTTTCAGTCCCAGACTTTTTATTCTATGAAACTACGGTAAAAGGATTCTTTATTATGAACACTCCTTTTCTTCCGTAACAGTAGACAGTGGATATTGTAATAGAGTGCCACAGTGACGCGTCCTAAAACCCGGAAGTAAGCTTCTTCCGGTTCCCTAGACAAAAAATCAATGCAATTTCTCCATAGGATTTTGGAAAATAGCTCGAAATAAGGTCTGTGGTTGAGACACATTGAACCTGTTAAGCCCTGAGCCTGTTTTTCAGGTCTCAGGCTCGAAAATGACATGCCCAGAACAAATGACCATATCTTCCCTTCTAAAAGGGTTACATTAATAATCTTTATTCTCAAAGTAATGATAAACCTGTGAGTTGGATGTAGAAGTGTCAGAATCAATATAGATGTTTTTTATTTTAAAGAAAATTCAGATTGAACATAGTACAAAAATGTAAATTATAGTGTCCGTCCAAAAATCCTTTTTTACTTATAGTGAAAACCACCCTTGGATGATGGGATAGTAGACTATAAGCTTTAGGAATCCAAACCATAACATAATAAGTACCCTGTATCAAGATTGATGCAAAACAAGTGACATTTGACCTTTTTAGAGAGGTTTAGGAGAAAGAAACCACCTCTGGGGTCATTTGGGTGCATTTTCCATATCTCTGGAACCCATTGGTCGATTTTGATGGTTGACACCTCTTTTTAACCGTTAGAGCCAATAGAATCGAAGGGAAGTTCCTAAAATCCATCTAAACATTACCCATTGCCCCGGAACCGGAAGCTGCGATACACTCTGGGAGCTATCATTTTGATCAACTTTTGATCAGAAAACAACAAAGGTAAGACATATTGCCGTGTTGGCTACCTAATGCTACGTGGTGTGATGTCTGTGTTAGCTTCTCATGTCGCGAGTTCTGATCGGTCAGTAATGATACTTATATTTCTGGAATCTGTGGAATCTCAGCTTGCTAATCGATATATTGTTTGTCCAGATACGATAAGTAATAAGGATATTTTACCGTGAGCTCTGTGCCAAACAAACAATCTGTGTGTTTAAAAAGCACTCTTCATCTTTCTGACATATTATACTTTGACTTTATTTCATTGATTGATTGAGTGATACATTTTATTTCGAACAAGTAAAATAAATAATTACAAAACAAAAAAAATGTTGCAGTGCATAGTCATGTAAGAGAAATCAAAACAAAAAAATGGCATTTACAACAACAGCATTAGCAACATAAACAGTCCCTCATCTAGTGTTCGAAAAGGAGTGAGAAGAAGTATCATTTATTTAATCTCACCCTCTTGTCCCTAAATGATTTATTTATAATCTATAATCTACAATAAATATCATTATTATTAATTATTATTGCTATTATTATTATTAATCTGTTTATGTCTGCTTTGACATATATACATATACACATATGTACATACACACATACATACACACACACACACACACACACACACACACACACACACATATATACATATATGCACATATACATAAACACCTACATACTCGCACATATACACATACACACATATACACATATACACATACACACATACACACATATACACATATACACATATACACATACACAGTGGCGGCTGGTGGAAAATATTTTAGGTGGGGCTGTGGAAATGGTGATCAAACAATACTAGGGGGATCCGGGGGGATGTTCCCCCGGGTAATTTCTTTTTGTTGAGAAAAGACCCCCTAAATTATGACTTCTGGTGATGTTAGAGGGGGGGGGGAAGGACAATTTGAGGCTTAAACATATGAGAAGACTGATCAATACCTCCATAACTTCAGTGTGGTTAGCTATGAATCTTCCAAAACTTCCAAACACCTTGTCCTGGACATAGTTTCTACAGCATAAACTGTGCAACAGTACAGTAGGCCCACACAACCTGCAGAACACCGGGGCTTTGAGAACACTCAAAATTACTTAAAATGATTTAATTTCCATTTAACCTGTTAAGGGGCTTTTTTCCCCCGTTTTTTTTTCTCACGAAACTGTGTCTCAGGGCTTCTTAAAATGTAATAAACTATTCATGTGTCCTACTCAGAGGAAACGCAGCTAACTGATGATATGAACCATGTTTACCGAAACAAAACACAAGTCTCACAAGAAGCGTCTAAATGAGCCCTGAGCGAAAAAATGCTAACGCACTCTAGGTATAAATCAATCGATATACTTATCGGATATGCACAAACAAATATAAGTATCATCACTGAGCGATCACAACTCGCGACAGGGGAAGCAAATACAGACATCACACGACGTAGCTTTAGGTAGCAAAACACGGAGATATGCTCACCTTTTGCAGAATAACAATTCTGATCAAAAACGAGAAAAACGCAGCTGAAGGTTAATCCAATGTGTCTGTCACTTTGAAAAAATGATTGATTGATTGATTTTTATTAGCTGCTAATGGTAGCTTCCAGAGTGTATGACAGCTTCCTGTTTTGTCTCCTTGGATACGAGTCCAAACAACTCACAGACTGCACCGGGCGCTGACCTAGGAGCCCTGTGACCATCAGATTTGACGACGCTGATTGGCTGAAATTATGTTTCGGCGGCATAGTTTAAAGATAGCAACAGTTGGCTTCTGCTGCACTTGCTGCACTCTCGTCTGGGCGCTGTGCTAGCGCCCAGACGAGAGGGAGTAATGATACACGGGCAAGGCCAGGCAGGAAACATGTGACTTATCAGTAACTTTAGACATCGTAACACAATTTTAAACGAGATTTTATTGTAGATTATACATTTTACTGATACCAATTATATAATATTTACCTTGTTTATTAAAAATAAAAATAAAAATAAAAAATATATTTTTTAAATATATATATTTTTTTTTTTTTTTTTTTTTTTTTTTTTTAATGTGGGAAGAGGGGGGGCGGCGCCCCTAGCGCCCCTATGGGTCGGCCGCCACTGCACATACACATAGTCAAACACCTTCTAATTTCATTATTTCAGATATACTGCATTACAACCTTTTTTCAAATCTTTTTTTTACATTTTACACAAATGGAATATTTATTTAAAAATTGTGATTTTTTATCACAGAGCTGAGAAAATAATACTCGGGGGATGGGAGTTCCTGAACATGGAGAAACAGCTTCAGTTATTATGCTCCAAATATCTGGAACAAACTATCTGGAACAAACCAAAGTCAGAATCATACCTGCTCTATACAAAGTATTGTCCACAAATAAACCTTCAACTAAATATAGAAAAGGGAAATGGGAAACATGTGGAAGAAACATCATCAGCCAACTCACGGACATGGAGAGAATACTCATGGAAACATTTGATCAGATTTCACACCTAAGATTCAGAGTAAATACCTAAATACAAACCCTCTGTGCTGGAGAGAATGTGGAGAATCAGAGGCCAACCATGCACACATATTTTGGAAATGTCAAAAAATACAATGTTTAAGATTCAAACCAGCGAAAAGGAATAGTGACTGATTGAGAGGAACCGGTCTGACAAATGGTCAAATGAGACTCCCAAAACTATATTTGTAATATTATTTCTCTATTTGTATCTATAGCTGTATTGCGTTGTTTATTTTTGTTTGGGTTGTCATGCACGTGCACAGCTGTTGTTCTAACAGATATGAGGAGCTGTGAGCTATGTGTGCTAACAGCTAACAGCTGATGTTTTGGTTTTCTGGTTCAACGTCAGTGACGGCAGGCTGAGATCCTCACCGCTACCGCTGGTACACTGATCTGGGGCTGATGAACGCAGAGCGCTTCAACAAGGATCCTTCAGAACTGGCTAGAGAGAGAGCTCAGAAGGAGGCAGGCTGCCAACACAACTTTAAGCTCTACGACCAGGATACCCTGCCTCACTCAGGTGAGTCTGTAGACCCTGTCTCTCTCAGGTGAGTCTGTAGACCCTGTCTCTCTCAGGTGAGTCCGTAGACCCTGCCTCTCTCAGGTGAGTCCGTAGACCCTGTCTCTCTGTAGACCCTTCCTCTCTCAGGTGAGTCCATAGACCCTGTCTCTCTGT